TTTGCTTTGCTGATGTCTGTCATGGAGGGATGGACGGTCGCAGGACTTCTTCACACAATCCAACAGTCTTCCCCACAACACAAGTTCTTTCCAGCCAACTTTTTCTTCAAAATGGAAGTCATGTCACAATATATCATTAAGGAATTCTTCGAAATCCAGTTTTTTCTCATATCTTTGATGTAAGTGTATGCCTAATTTCTCATTGAAACCTGAAGATTTCTTATCTCTTAATGCAGCTTAATAAAGAGAATGAAGGCTCAGTTTCCTTCAATGAAATGAATTTGGTAGATCTTGTGAATCCCAAATCCTTGCTTCCCAGCATGATCTTTCTTCTCCTCTTGTACCATTCAGACTTCAAACATGATGCATAGCCATCGTCGTTGCCTTGACATCCGCAGCCGAAGACGCAATTTGTCCAGCCGTCCTCTGTCCGGTCTGTCCTTTACCGTTCAGACGTCTCTTCTGTATCTGCTGGTTCTGCTGCTCACCGGCGATTCCGTCTACATACAGGCCTCGCCCTCGTTCGGCTATTCGTCCGGTCTGGCCCAACGCAGCCAGACGGGTCTCGAGGCCGTCCTCAACGCCGCGGCTGCAGAAGTTCCTTCCCCGACCGGTGGCGGCGGCGTAGAAGAGATGGTCGAGTCGAACGGAATCGGTGAACCATTGCGTCTACGACCCGTCGGCCAGCCGACAGAACTGGCAAGAGCATTGAGCATTGAGGGCTTCATTGAACCGCCTCGACGACCTGCCGTATTCAGCAGTCCACAGGCTTTGAGACACTACTTGCGCCGGTTAAATGAATACTTCGCCATCATCGGCCGGCCAAGGTCAGTCTCCTCTCGGAGACTTTGCCACTGTTTTCGTATTAGAGTAGAATTTCGAGGCTACCAGTAAATCAGTAATATGAGATGTATACAACCTATTTTATCTGAGGTGATGAAGAAATGGTAGTAGAATTTTCCCCCAATGATATGAGTTGGGCTGACATTTCCATTGAATTTCACATAACCTTGCTTTACAGGTTCAACCTAAATTGCAAATATATACGAAAAATAAGGACATGCAAGAATCTAAAGCATGAGTTTTGTCATAGACCTCGTTTACTATGAAATATATTAAGGAGAGATGAATATTGACCGAATATAGAAGTGTCTGTTACAAACGAAGATTTGATATTTTCGTATTTGAGTCTGGCTGGGGTGTTAATAAGACCGATGCGAGGTCGAAACCGCAGTCCACTTCTGTCTGGATGAGAACAACTTTTGGGAAAGCAAGGCTATGTAAAATTTAATGGAAACGTCAGCTCAACTCATATCATTGTGGGAAAATTTTACTACCAGTCCTTTATCACATTACACGAAATAGGGTTAATACATCTCATATTGCTCTTGTTTCTCAATGTTGGGCGAAAAGGATTCATGAATTGACCGCATTGCGAAGCGAATGAGCATCGTCTTTGAATTGTGACGCTTTATTTGCGCGAAAAGCTACTCCACACAGTGTCGCCAGGGGATTTCGATGAGCAACCCTTGGGCATTTTCGTCTTTTATTCTCTGGAAAACATCGCCAAAACTAGAAATCCTCTTCTAAGGCCGGCCAGATGAATGTCTGCCTCCTGCTTGCGGCCTCAATTTGAAAGCACATTAAAACATTTCATTAATTGATTGTAGATATGTCAACCAAGACATCGTTTTTACAATTTGGTCGTGTTGTCAAGGCGACCTTAAAGAATGGCCTTCAGCAGATTTCATCCGCTGTAGTACGTCTTTCGAGGCCTCTCAGACAAAATTACCAAGTTGCTAACGTGAGTCAAGGCCTAGTCCATCCCACCCTGGCTGCGTGTACACGTGGCCAAAACATACTTGCCAGCAATACTCACTGGCCGTCCTGGTAACTAGTCGCTTGCAAGAGAATAGGTATGTGAGGGGACTATTTGAGAAAAAGAATAGGGTATCAGAAAAGCCTACTTTCATTTTAACGGAAGGTGTGTGAGGAAGAAGGCAAGTGTGAATTCCTCTGGGTCGGCTGTCGGAAAAATGCTTGTTTACGCTGCCTCGGAGACAATCTCCTTCGATTGGTTTTGGAGTGCTTTCCATTTTGTATGAAGAGGCGAGGGTAAGTGATTCGGTAGTTGGCTGCACCAGAAGCCGAAGGAAGATTTCGTTGAAGACGTGATTTTATATTTAAGAGAATAACTCCTCGATGCACCCCTTCGCGAGCCCGATGTATCCTTGTGGAACTTTCGTTTTTGATGTAACGGACATCGCCAGTACAGTAAAGCATGCTTTCGGATAAGTTCCTTCTTGTGACCTAACTTGTCTACTTAATAAGAAATGCCATGATTCGGATGGAAATTTTATGCTTTTGCCACATGCTTAAGGATGACATATGAAGTTGTTGCAGATAAATCGTGAAACAGACTCATTTGTGGCCGAAAAAATAACTTAAATTTTTTGATCCTGCAATGTACCCGCATGTGATTGCGTTCGATTGTACGTGTGTTGTGTGAATGCAGTGCTTGTGAGACGTGTGAGCTATAAAAGGATTTCTTGCAAAGGTTGAC